TGCTCCCTGTCGCAGGCAGACGATGAGCACTACATCCCGCGAGCCGTGCTGCTGGACCTGGAGCCCCGAGTTATCCACTCCATCCTGAACTCCCCATACGCCAACCTCTACAACCCAGAGAACATCTACCTGTCTGAGCACGGAGGGGGAGCTGGGAACAACTGGGCCAGTGGCTTCTCACCGGTAACCCCTGTGGTGCTCCTGGGTGCAGCTTGTTCATCGTGGGTTTCCTGCGTGGGGCTCGGCACACGCTTTCCAAGGAAGGCCTCATCATTGGGCAGGGACTGTCGCCCGGCGCGTTGTGGCACCCTGGGCACAGGGTCCCACTGCCAGGCTGACTCAGCTTCGCACCAGGCTTGAAGAGCTCTTCTCCATTTTCTGTGGGAAAGGAACAAAATCTGCTCTGGTCTCTCTTGCAGGGAGAAAAAATCCACGAAGATATTTTTGATATAATAGACAGAGAGGCTGATGGGAGCGACAGTTTGGAAGTAAGTGAATCCAGGGATTTGGCTCCAGTTGCCCTGCTTGGTGTTTTCTGAGCTGGACTGCTCTTTTATAAGATCAAGCTCAGCCCTTTGGTGTGCACAGACTTGCTCGACTTGCTTCTAGATGCTGAGCAGAGAACACATAGAGATGGAAATTAGGGAAAGGAGGTCCCCAACTGCTGCTCTCACTATTCCCGTGGGATACAGTCCACAGGAAGTGTTACAGGCGTTATGATGATTTCTGTCCCTGTTCCACCTCCCTCCCACGGCTCTTCTCTACGTCAGCAGGACACACATGGCCTGTCTCCAGTGAAGGCCCCCGTGGGTAGGGAGGGCTCTGCTGGAACAGGGTCACTGGCAGGAAGATGTTCAGACCCAGAGCTGCCAAGTGCTTTGAGAGCCATGGAAGGAGTGCAGGCAGCTGCAGCTTCATTTTCTCCCCAGCTGAGCTGAAGGGTCACCAGGGACCCCGGCGGCTCTTTGGATGCTTTGCCGTGTGCTGCTGGCAGCACCTCAGCCACCGTCCCTGTAACACCATTACAGCAGCAGAGCTGGGCCGTGAGCTGCCTGCGTTCTGCTTCCTTCCAGGGGTTCGTGCTTTGCCACTCGATTGCCGGCGGGACGGGCTCCGGGCTGGGCTCGTACCTCCTGGAGAGACTGAATGACAGGTGAGCGAACGCCCCGGCCCCTTCGCTCACCGCAGAGCCTGCCCCAGCCTGGGCTCCCTGCCAACACGGGGAGCTGAGATCTGACTCAGAGCCACCACCCCCACCCAAACACTGCCTTGTGCAACCGCTGGCATGCTGCCCGGGGAAGGGACGGCTCCTGATACAGCTGGGGACTTCAGAGGCTCTGGAACTGGACTTGCGCTGTCCAAACTCTGCCTTCCCTCAGCCATTCTTATCAGGCAGCTGCCTCCTGACATCCCGACTGTGCAGAGGAGGGTGGGAGGCTCAAGCTGTGGGCTCTGAGCTGCCGTCCCTGCCTGTTTCAGCTCGCAGCCTCTTGCAAAGGCTTGTAAGCAGCTGCTCGATTGGTTTGCGGATGGCTGGGCCTGGCCCGCTGCAGCTCTGGCAGCCTGCTCCTGTGCTGCTGGCTAGGCACTGCTGGGACAAATTCTCTCCCTCCCTGGGAGCCGACTCTGGCACACAGCACTGGTGACTCACTGCTGTCCGGAGCCCCAGAGACTTCGAAGGGAGCAAAGGGAGCTCCAGCTTGTGGGAGGAGAGGGAGCTGGCTTCGTGGTGTTAACCCCTGCGATGGCTGGGCTTTCTCACCAGGTATCCCAAGAAGCTGGTGGAGACCTACTCAGTTTTCCCAAACCAGGACGAGATGAGCGATGTTGTGGTGCAGCCGTACAACTCTCTGCTGACGCTGAAGCGGCTGACTCAGAACGCCGACTGCGTGGTGAGAGCCCCACTGCCTGCCTGCAGCACACGGGCTGCTCCTGCCTGCCAGCCCCGGCCCCTGCCGCCCAGAACCGCGGCCTCTGCTGGGGTAAATCCCCTAGATGGGGAGGGGGGGAACCTGGCAGCAGCAGGTGCACCCCACTCCGGAAGGACTGAGCAGATTTTGGGGCCCTGGGGATGAGAGCTCTGCACCAACCCCTGCCAAGTGGCTCCCCAAGTGGCTCCCGCGGCGTGCCTGCCTCTGGGATCAGCACGTTCGAGGGCTGGCTGTGCGTCCTGTGCATGGCTGCACTGCGGCCTTGTGCTCGAACTCGATTCCAGCATCGCTTTGAGCAGCCCCAGCCTGCACCAGGGCCTTGGCTCCAGACCTGCTCTGGAGCCTGCGTGTCCCTCCCAGCCCGTGTGCCTGTGCGAGGCTGGGGTCGGGCCCGGCCCAGGGCAGAGCTCTGCGAGAGCACTGGGCACGCAGCCAGGCCGGGAGGGAAGAGCTCCATTGACAGTGTCGGTTACGCTCCGCAGATGAGTCAGCTCGTGGTT